TTCCTTCTGGGTCATTCTGAGCAAGAATCGGACACTCATACTCACCAACTCCTTTCTGTGGTGGCTCAGGTGGGCTGTTTGATCAAATTGTAGAAGTCATTCCTTTAACCCACTCAGTATCTAGTCCATATGTGGGTCTGTTTTGACACGAATATCAGTCGCGCTCTGCTTTCTCATTTACTTCTTTGTTCAGTAGAACTTTTGGTTCACCATGCTCTCTTGGCTCAGTCACTTACTGCTTGTGAGGTTCTATTGCTTTTGGGGATATAGTCTTCCATGACTACACTGGTCCCTCACTGTCATGCCCGTATCAAATCCCTTCAGTGGGTATTTAACAAATAATGGAACCTTTCTCGGGATCTTCTTTTTTGCACCCCTATTTCCCTTCCTACTTACCTGAGAGATTATCTACAATCGTGGCTGGATCTTCTTTTTTGCACCCCTATTTCCCTTCCTACTTACCTGAGAGATTATCTACAATCGTGGCTGGACAAAGCCCATAAGTCAGTGGGTGTGTAGCTTTCTTCTCTGCATCTCTTCATGGACGCATCCCTTCATGGATGGGGGAGCATGGATTAATCATCAAGAAGCTTTGGGTTGGTTTGCAGATAAAGCCGTCTTGCATATCAATGTTCTTGAACTTCTAGCTGTATGTTGGGCATTGCATCACTTCCTTCTTCTCACCTGTCATTGTCTGATGATGGTTCATTTGGATAATTCTATGGTGGTGGCACATATCAACCACCAAAGGGCCACCCAGTCCAGATATCTATGTTTTGTGGCATTGGATCTATCATACTGGGTCAATTGCACATCATATTTGCCTTATAGCATGTCATGTGCCAGGTGCTTTCAATCTAGTCATGGATCATCTTTCATGCCCCAACCAGATATATCCAATGGAGTAGGCATTAGATCCACTCGTTTTCAGGAATCTTGCCATTAGTAGGGTTCTCTCAACTTGGATGCCTTTGCCACAGGCCTCAATACCAAGCTGCTCCTCTTTTGGTCATCTGTACTGCATCCACAGGCTTTGGCAGTCAGTGCCTTCAGCCATGATTGGTCATACGAATATTGTTATGTGTATCCTCTCATCTGGTTGCTTCATTGGGTAATTTCTCTTGTCTACTCCACTCCTTGTTGGGCCCTCCTGCTTGCTTCCTATTGGCTAGCTCAACTTTGGTTTCCAAGGTTACAATGTCTGCTCCTATCACTACCTGTCCCTCTTCAACTTTCACCCTCCCTTCCTCATCAATTTCCATGTCCTGCATCTTCACGCTTGACTTTTGTCTGGTCCTTGGCAAGATGATCCAGTTTCACAGTTTGAGTTGCTTCCTTGTTAGCTAGATCCATATGGCCATCTTCCATGGAAGTATACCAACACAAATGGAAAGTATTTTGCTGTTGGTCTGCTAACAGGAAGTTTGCTGCTGCCAAACCTTCTGTGGCTTGTGTGGTGGAATTTCTACATGGACTGCATGAGTAAAGCAGTAGGGGATTGCTGCCCATACCTGCCATGCCTTGAGTGAATAACTCAGAATGGTTTGCTTTTCAAAATAAGGTTTCATGGTTACCCATTCCTCTGTCTTTGGTGATGATGTTCCTCCACACTCTCCACTGCATTGTCACTATCCTTTCTTCAAGTGGAGTATGAGAGTCCCTACCACTTTCCAGTTCCAAGCCACTGGAGTGGTTGACCATGAAGGCACCCTCCTGAATGAGTTTCACAAAGAAAGGGCTAGAACCATTCAGTCAAGAGTAGGGTGTTGGTGTTCTGCTGGTGTAGATGAAACGTGGACTCCAGAGGAGTTGAGCCATCACCTTACTGCATGATGTGGCCTCCAGAAAAGTTGAGTCACCACCATACTGGATGGTGTGGCCTCATGATATCAGTTACATAAACACTGGAGTTGAGTTGTTGAAATTTCAGCTCACCCCTTTGATTGGGAGATATCATCCTACCCTCTCGTGGATGTTGGTACCTTGTGAAAAGGTTTTTGATTGGAGTGAACCAATCACCATAAGTCTTCACACAAGTTCAGGTTGTCTGTCTTCCTCCCCCAATTACTCCACCTGTGTTGTAGATCACAGCAGTGGTATGTGGGATTGTTATGATTCTATCCTTGACTATCTCTTGTTCTCTTTTTATGGGGATGTTATTGCCTTTGGATGGTGCCTGCCTGTTCCACAGTTAAGGGAGTTGATCCATGCAGTAAACATCCTTTCAATACCAGATGTCAATTCCTAGATCAATAGATCAGAGATGATCTTCATGGCATACTCAGAAATTGGTGTGGGTCTTAATCACTGATTCTTGGGTTTAAGGTGAAGATGGTATGACACTCATCCTACCCTTGCATGGATGTCAGTATCCCATTAGGAGGTTTTGGGTGTAGCTGACTTACCGTTTATGGTCTGCCACACCCTAGCCACTTTACACCTCTCCATTTCCCTCTTATGTCTTGCACATTCTACACATGGACAAAGAAGTGGTGCAGTTCCCATCTTCTAATCTTTGTATCTATATCTCTCATTGTAAAGGGTATCTTTCAGATGCTTTTGGAGGTACTTCTTTCATTCCCTCACACTGGTCCTTCCTCCTACTCAATGTGGTATCCTAGTAGTACCGTATCAGAAGTTATAATTTTCTGGAGTTGAGCCATTGCCTTCATGGTTGATGTGGCCTCATAATACTATTTACACAACCAAGGGAGTTAAGCCATCGCCTTAATGGATGATGTGGCCTCCTGATATATTTTACATACACACTGGTGTTGAGCTGTTGCAATTGCAGTTCACCTCATTGATTGGGAGATCTCATCCTACCTTTGCATGGAAGTACGTTCCCAGCTTTGAGGTTTTGGATTAGAGTAACCAATCAACATAAGTCCTCTCACGAGTACAGGTTGTCTATTTTCCTCCATCAATTGCTCTGTCTGTGTCTTTAGTCACAGCTATAGTACATGGGATCTGGTCTATGCCATAGTTGGGGGAGTTGATTATATGTGATCAACATCCTTTCAATTCCAGATGTCTATTCCCGGTTTAATAAAACAGTGAGAATCATCGTGGCATACCCACATATTGGTGCAGATCTTAATCCCTGATTCTTAGATTTGAGGTAAAGATGATATGATCTTCATACTACCCCTGCGTGGATGTCAGTATCCTGTGAGGAGGTTTTGCATGTAGTTGACTTCCCAAGTATGGTCTGACATGCCCTAGCCACTCTACACTTCAGAATTTCTACCCTTGTACATGACACACTATACAGGAGCAAAGAGTATACCTGGCTCAGAAGTGGTGCAGTTCCCCTCTTCTGATCTATATCTCTCATGGTCAGGAGTATCCTTTGAATGCTTTCAGGGGTACTCCTTTCGTTCCCTTGCACCAGTCCCTCCTCATTTTCAATGTGGAATTCTAGCTAATCTTTTGAGCAGACATAAATACCGTATTGCAAATTATAATTTTCTGATACTGAAAATGTATTTTTGATAGGTACTTACCTCTTACTCACACTTCCCACCCTTCCTCCCCATTTCTTCGGTGCTCGTGCCATCTGCCAAACTTTCAAGTGAAGGTTCAGTAGAGAAGTATAGAGGGAGTCACATGAGCATGTCATGCTACTATTGGTTAAGAGGTAATGCATGATGATTTGCATGAGAGACTTGCTGAAATATGCATGCATAAAGAAAATTTTGCATATAGAGGGCAGCAATGAATGAGAATATCTAATCTTGTGAAAAGAGGTAAGTACCTATCAGAGATACATTTTCTGTGTAGGAAAATTCTAACTTTTCCTTGCTTTTGAGCATTATAGGGTAGGAATACTTTCCCAGGTTTATCTTCTATCTTCTTTTCTACAAGATATTTGCCTGATCACCTTTCTTTGCTGTGAAGTTATGAGGGTATTTCACAGGATTACTCTTCTTTTTGCCCAGAGACTTGCTCTCTAATTCTATACCCCTCCTCTTCTTAGCTCTTGTCCAGTACCTTTTTTCCTCCATCTAAATTTAAATTTGGACTTCAAACTTTTTCATTGCACTGTTGCAATGGTCACCAAAAAGCAAAATTATTTAAATTTATCCTAATAGTTTTTAAAACCTAAATAGTCTAAATCATGTTTCCTTTAGTTCTTTCCTACTTTAGAAAAATGTATTTAAATCTATAAGTTCATGTTTGTGGTTGAACTTTTTTAAACTAAATTTTCTACAGTAGTCTGTTTGTGAAGTCATTTTAGCACTGATATTTTTCATGTAGTAAGGAGATCAAATTGCAACAGTATTCTAAATGAAATTTTACCAGTCTTATGTTGAGATATAGTAAGTACATTGTATCTTACAAATTAAACTCTATGGCAACCAATGTTTTTCTAATCAGACATATTTACATTTAAAAATCTGTAAATAAATCTCAAACTCATATTTATTTTTGTGTAACAGTTGAGCACTCAGCTGGAGAATTAAAGCTTTTATTGCCAATTATGCTAAAGCTTTTTCGTGTATTTTTTTTTTTTTAACTACAACCACTACTGTTTATCCTATGTAATTTATAACTTATTTCCATCTTTTTTTTTATACCCTAAGTACATTACTTTTCACTTTTCAAATTTTAAACTCATTGTTCACATTCTTTTTTTAGTCACTAAGGCTCTCCTTGACATTTTAAATTGATTGTAGTATCATCAGCAAAAACATATATATAAAGAAAAACTCAAGCACAACTTCAGTGTAAGCATTGTTACTCTTGAATTAGGATGGTTGGTCTTCTTGGCCATAAAACCAGTTTTTGGTCCATTTATCTTTTCAAGCAATTTCATTAGATTTTAAGCTACTACAATGTAGCATTATTTAATATAATAGTTTTGAGAACTTTCCAATTAAGATATTGTGAATGATAAACCAAATTCATATTAGTTTGTAAAAGGTTTTGTCTATAGTTTGGGATGTTAATGTGTATATATACTTCATTGTGTATGTGATTTATTTCTCTCATTCAAGGACAATATGAATCCAAACTACAGAGATGAACATGAGCTTTTTATGAATCATCACACAGGTAGCAGCCCTGAAAAAGTTTTGGTGGTTTCATTGATTATGCCTCTTGCTGCTTTTGCCCTAAAGCTGGTTTCACCATGGTTGTGGACTTATGATGCTAGCTTTTGGTAAGTGTGTATGCACGTAAGATTTTTTTCTATAACTATTTTAAAAATGGTGCATTTCTTCAAAATATATATATGTTGAAAAAATTCCTGTCTTCTTTTCTGTAGTATTTGTTTCTTTTCTTTTGGGAAGTGGGGTGTGTAACTTCATTTATTTTATTATTTTATATTTGATTTAGGCTCGGTGTTTTGGAAAGCTTTCGGTAAAATTTGAATATTAAAATTGAAAACTGCTGGTAGCTACAAATGACTCATTTATCCTTTGTAAGTGTTTGATTGTTGGCTGTTTTGTCCTTCTATTATATATCATTAACACTTGTAATTATATTGCTTGAAATATCTTGAGTAAAGTAGTCAATCATGCCATTGGAAGAATACTGAATTCCTATATGCCCTGTAGTTTAATGTATTGGTGAACTGTATGTATTCTGTAAATATTAAAATTCAGTTTCCAGACCTGGAAATCTCTTGAAAGATTATATTGTATTCAGGATTCCTGGAAACTAAAATGTTTTATCATGTTAAACATTTCCTACAATGTGCACTGGAAGTTTTAGAATATCAGGCAAACAGCAGGCATAGCTAATCAGGCTCTTAGTAGCTAGTTGTATGTGGTAATAACTTCTCTTTTCTTTCAGACATTTTGTAGAGTTTGCACAAAGATGTATGCATTTCATAGCCTTATTTAGCAATGGATTATATTCATTTATGGCACTGTAAATGTACATTTATTAAATCTTTATTGCTAACAAGTAAATTACAGTACAGTCAACAGTATTAAGATTTTTCAAAGTATTTTTAAGTTGATAACTGTGCATCACCCTCTCTCTCTCTCTTGGCAGATTGTTTTTTTATACTACAATTGTGACAAGTTTCAGTGCTTCTACATGAAGACCTGTAGAAATAACAGTACCATTAATACATGATGTTTGCTTATACTAGAAAGCAATACATTTACTATGTATTTTGTATTCTCTAAGTAAGTCATTGGTTTGAACAAAATGATGATTTATATGAAGACAATGACATAATGTGTCACTTTGATTATACAGTTTATATAATTGATTAATCATTGATATCATCTAATTTGTATAAAAGCCAGTTTGTGTCATGTCATGCTTGATTTATTGAAATTGGAGGAGTTATAAAAGTCAAAATGCATTTATCCAGATAGAATTGTTCCATTACTGTCAGCCCATTATGACTTTAGTGACAGTGGTGCAAGGAGGCTGTGAGGGAGGGGGTGTCATGAAACCATATAATGGTAGTGAGTGTTGGTATAATAAGCCTAAAGTAAAGACATAGCGTGGGATCACCTAGCGTAGAGCCAAGTGCATAAAATTTATCATGAAAGTAAAAAATATTGATTCAATTTTAAATTTAAATCATTTCTTTTAAACTATTTTATGTTATATCACCAACATTTTGAATAAAAAATAAAATCTTTAATCAACCGAGACTGTAAATTAAGAAATCAACAAATATTTTTCCAGTTTGTTGTCTATTCATTTTATACTTTCAGTACATAGACTAACAACAATATGAGGTTATACTTTTGTTGCTAAGCAACATGACATAAAAGCTATTGTTGGAACTTATTGTTACCAAAATGCACTGGCTTTTCTATATATTAGAAGTTGTTAATCTGATTGACTTTTGCCAATAAATATTCTATGAGTATGCCACAAATTAATTTCATCAATGATCTTAATTTTGATTGGCTTTAAAGGAATTTACCATTGAGTGAATGCCTCGACTGCACTTTTCTGCCTCTTTATTGATCAAGCTTGATTTCACAAAATTTATTTATTTCATTTAGCTATGAAATGTGAGGTTAGAGTATATTATGGGGTGGGGGTGGTAGTATTTGCCCCATCATATTTGACGAGCAATATGCTAGTGTATGATAATAAGCTGCTCAGTTCATTATGCATATATTTGGTTTTTGTTTCACAGTTGCTAGTCCACTCTTATTAGTTTGCACCCTAAGATTTATCAGTCAATAATGCATTCTACTAATAGTGTCCCTTATATTCAAAATGACTAATTTCACTATTCAGATGTCTTGTTAATTCTGAAGATGTACTTCATTACAAGTATGTTTGGATTAACAAAGTTTCACTGTACTGCTAAAGTACTATAGTCAAATAATAGATAATATTACTTTTACACTTTTATCATTAATTTAACTATTGTTACTAATAATCACACTAAAATACTTATTATACAATATATGAAAAATATTTTAACATTTTGTACCTCTCGTAGATAGAAATCTAGTATGATAATCACTCTGAGGCCCTCAGTATCTTGCACATTATATTTAGATATACTTTTATTCATTAGAAAAAAATCAGATATTTCTCTGTCAGCTAAGAAGTTCATGTGAATAAATTGAAAACTAAAGTAAGCCTTACAGATGACATTATTGTTAACCATCAATGACACCTTTGAAAAATTGCTTTAGAGATGACCTAATTGAGGTCAGTTTTACAGCAACTAACTGAAATATTGGCCTGACCAGAACCTTTACCATATGGTATAAAACAAGATCAAAATCCCACTGCTCATTTCAGTACATTTTTTTAAAAACTGAGACTATAACATCTAGAGTCAGCCTTAGGGTATGGTGAATCAGGGTGACTGTCTTGAGCCTTGTGCCTTAAGGAGCACTGTGCCTATAACATGGCAGAAAAACCCAAAGCTCACTTTAAATTTACTGAATCAGTTCTTTAACTCGACTTAACAAAATAATTTGTTCATTTGATTCACTTAAGCCAGCGACACTGGTATACATAATTCAATCATTGAAACTTATTTAGGTTTTTCCTTGTTCAGGAGCTTTCTCTCTCAATTTATATGTTGTTTCATTCAGATTGTAAGTTTCTAAATTTACAAGCAGTGAACTGAACTTAAACAAGTGGACAAATCAGTTAATGATTCTTCTTATTCATTTCACTAATTCATGTATTTTGGATGAATGGTTCGTTGAACTTGATCAATCCTGTTCGAAGTTGGAGCAGAAAGATGTGTGCATTCAAAATTTTAATTAAGTTTGTGTTTAGTGTATTTTTAAAAAATACACTAAATTTTTGTGTGCAAATTTTTGAGTTTCAATAACCCTGTGATGGTCAGTATCCAGTGTTTCTTTTATGTACATTTTGACTATTGAGAAAGAAGTTTTCTTGTACAGCTCAGGAATGCAAGAAATTTTCCTTAAAATTGTTGCATGTGGCCCTGTTGTTATTTTTTAGTGTACCATGGCTAACACTAGCAGAGACAAATACAGAAAATATAAGTCAGGGCAGAGAAAAGGTAGAAAAGAAAGGGAAGAAATCCAAAAGTCACTTAAAGGGTCCCTCAGAAAATTTGTAATTTCAAAAGATCCTTCAGCTAATGAGGGAACTTGTGTATTAATAGACTCTAGCAATTGTGATAGTGCTGTTAATGTAAATTGTTCTCAGTCTGTGAAAAGAGACAATATTGCAATATGTTCTCAGTCTGTGGAAATGGGCAGTTTTTCAGATGCTATTTATGCCAAAGATTTTTATGATCCAGCCAATTGGTCAGATTTACTGAACAACAAAACAGTAGAGCTTTTGGTAGAAAAAGGGCTGATCAAAGTATGTTGTGGTGATTCTATTTTTCCAATGAATGGTGACAGACAATGCTTTTTAGAAGAATTTTACACACCAAGGTTGCTGATTGGAGAAAGGGTTGAAAGACATTGGCTAATACACTTGAAGAAAATTGATGCAGGTTTCTGTTTCTGCTCTAAATTGTATTACTCAAATATGGCAATGAAATTAATAAAGGAAGGCTGTTTTGACTGGAAGCACTTTAATGAAAGATTGTGATCTCATTAGTTATCTAGTGATCATATATTATACTTAACAAAATGGACTGACAAGGAGAGAAGATTATCTGCAATAAAGACAATAAATGAGGAAAAGGAAAACAAGGAAAAGGAACATTGGCAATTAGTGTTGGAACATGTTATAACAGTTGTGCAGTATTTAGCTGGACATAACTCTGCATTTCATGGAACAAATGAAAGGCTTTATGAATATGACAGTAGTAATTTTCTGGGATGAATAAAGATGATAGCTAAATTCTCTATCCTATGATTCAGTTGCTTTCCATTTCATGTAAAATTAAGAAATACATGTCAAAATGAACTAATTGCATTGATGGCATTGCAAGTATAGAAAATAATCTTTGAAAACGTGAAGATTGCAAAATTCCTTGTAGTCATTTTTGACTGCACTTCTGACCTGAGTCACCAAGAGCAGATGTCCTTTGTGCTGCATTATGTTGAAATGTCTTAAGAAGAAGTGAAGGTAAATGAAGAATTTATTGACTTTCTTCTGGTTCAAGACACAGCTGGGCAAAGACTGTCAGAATCTCTCTGGATGGACTTGGCCTCCTTATTAGTGATTGTAGGGGCAGGTTTATGACAATTGGCTAATATGAAGGGCCAGAATTGTGTTCATGGGCATATCAACCTACAAACATCTTTTATTCCGTGTGACTGTCATAACTTAAATCTAATATAGGGGGAAATGGCAAAGTGCAATTTAAAAAGCCTTATCATTTTTTAGGGTTGTGAAGTGAACTTACAATATATTTGCTGCTTCCACTCACAGATGGCAAATATTGAGAGAGAATGCTCTATCTCTAACTCCAATGCCATTGTCAGGGAATGTAGAGTAGAGAGTGTAAAAGTGATCTGTTACCATACAAGTGATATCAGGAATGTCTTTGTTGTAGATGCAGAAGAATGCAATGACTCAAAATTCAAAAGTGAGGTGGAGTCCATGGCCAACTACAAAATCAAACATTTTAAATTTCTGCTCAGAATGGTCATGTGGTATAATATCCTATTCACTGTAAACACTGTAAGCAAGATACTTCAATCCAGAGAAATTCAGCTTGATGTGGCCTTAGCACATCAAGGGGACTCATTTAGTTTCTGCAGAAATACAGAAACACTAGATTTACCT